GGGGTTTCTCTTCTGGGCCTGCACACTCTATGTTTGGGGTTTCTCTTCTGGGCCTGCACACTGTATGTTTGGGTTTTTTTTGGCTGGCATCTCCTGGATGCTGGAAGATGGGTGCCAACATTTATTCTTAAAATCGTTTTGAGCATGGTTTAATTTAGCGTAAAAGCTGCTTTACTGGTTTTCAGACTAAGGCACTCCATGGAGCTCACCCCACCTCCATCCCCTCTCTCCGTCCCCATTAGCTGTGACAGCCCAATCATATGTCTCTCTCCCTCTGATCAGCCAGCCCAGGGCTCCTTGTTTGAAGCTGGCTTCATAATTCCTTACTTTACTTGCCATCCCAAGAAGAAGGACTTGATTCTCCTCTTATCTCAAAGTGGATTCTCCCAAACCAAAATCTCCCTCCTTCATCTCCTAGGAGGGTGTTTCTGTCAGGCGGGCCTCCTGCCAGTGTGGGTTGTGGGCAGCCCTCTGCCTGGCACATTATTACACAGTGACATCAACTACTGTCCCAGTGCCAGTGGTTTCTCGGGGATGCCCCATCTTGCCTCTGACTTTCCATCTCGTGCCCATCTCCAAAGGGGACATCACTCATGTCCTTGTTGTCCCAGTGAGAAGCCCTGATCCAGTGCTTTTTGATTTACCTCTCACTCAGTTTTATCTCTTAAATCTCAGGGAAGGAGCCCACTTCTTCCCATCTACAATATTCTTGCATTAATCCAACAGCCTTGATGCTGGTCAATCTAAATTGCCTTGCACCCCCTCCCCCATTGCTGCACACTGGAGCCAAAATGCTTCTGAAATATAAACCTTATTGCATAACCCCCCTTCAAAAACTCTCTAGTGGCTTTCCATTTAATTCCACACTCCTTAAAGGGACTTGTCTGGCTTTGAACCCCCTGAGCCCCATCCCCCAGGCTGCCCTGTTTTCTATGTGCCCCAGGAAGGCAGGTGTCCTCCCTTGTTCAGTGCAGAGCTTGGTGCGTGGTAATGGTGGTTTGGCATTAGTCAGAGGTGAGGCATGTGTATTTTAATATGATGAGTAGGCAGCAAGTTGCATTTAACTTCTTTTTCTAGGAGATGGACCATAATTTTCTTATATTAAAGTGCTGTAGAGACCGAGCACGGTGGCTCATGCCTGTAATCCCAGCACTTTGGGAGGCCGAGGCAGGTGGATCACCTGAGGTCAGGAGTTGGAGACCAGCCTGGCCAACCTGGTGAAACCCTGTCTCTACTAAAAATACAAAAATTAGCTGGGCATAGTGGCAGGCACCTGTAATCCCAGCTACTCAGGAAGCTGAGGTGAGAGAATCGCTTGAACCAGTGAGGTGGAGGTTGCCGTGAGCCAAGACTGCACCATTGTACTCCAGCCTGGGTGACAGAGCGAGACTCTGTCTCAAAAAAAAGAAAAAAAAAGTTATTGTAGAGGTTTATGGTGGCTCTTTTATTTTACTTTTCTTCCTTTTTTGAAACATCTTTTGGGTGGAAGTGGATTTATTTGGTAGTACTCCGTGGGTCAGAAATGGGACGTCTCTTTGAAATACATTCTTACAGAGAGAGAAACTTGACGATTGTAGATTTAGTGCCTAGGAAGTTGGTATTTGAAAAGCATAACCTGTGGTTATGCTGTCTGAAGGCATGGTTTATTATTTTTTCACTTTCATTGGTCTCACTCCTGCTTCCTTATTTCTTGGAACAGGAAATCCTAAAACATAGAAGTTAATTGGTGGCTGCTCAGAGCCCCTTGGCCTGGATAGAGTCTCCTGTGAACACCTAAGCCTGTGAACCCAAGGTCAGAGCTCTTTCTTTCCCCTAGGCCCAAATGCTGCTCGCTCTGTTTACACACTTCCTACACATCGATGGTCTGTGCCTTGTTCTCGCGTCCTTTATGGTCTTTGTTTTAGTCCAGGAGCCATACTGGCCTCGGTGCAGTCCCTGCAATGCAGTCTCATTCTCTGTGACCTCAGTTGGGTCCTTAACATCCAGATTCTTAAATGTCTCAGAGCCTCAGTTTTCTTATCTGTGGAATGGTCATCACGACAGTGCCTACAGGGTTGTTGTAAAGATTAATTGAGAAAGCATGTTAAATCCCTTGACATAATAGGGGAACCATCAGTGTTAACTGCTGCCTCTACCGATTGTCTGTTATTTTGACATTTGCCACCTGCTAGTTGTGTGACATTGGGTGAGTTATTCAGCCTCTCTGGGCCTTAGTTTTCTGTTGTAAAATGGTGTTAATGTAAGTGCTTACCCCTCACAGTATTGCTCTGAAGATTACATAGAATAATCCATATAGAGGGCTATGAATGGTGCCTGGCCATAGTCACTGTGCTTAGTAAACGTCAGCTCACTGCAGCCTCCACCTCCCGGGTCCAAGCAATTCTCCTCCCTCAGCCTCCCGAGTTCGGATTATAGGCATCTACCACCACAGCTGGCTAATTTTTGTGTTTTTAGTAGAGACAGGCGTGTCTTTTTATTGGGTTCAATTTTTAAAATATTTTAAAGCTTTATAAAAGGGCAGCACAAGGGGTCCTTGTAAGTGGTAGATACATGCACCAATACAGGTAATAAAATTACAGAGAGCTTAATACACACATGTGCACACAAATAAGTGCAAGTAAAATGGGAACTCTGAGGAAAAGTTATGGATTGTATCCGTGCTGATATCCTGGGTGGGATATTATGATCTTGCAAAATGTTGCCATCGGGGGGGAACTGGATAAAGGGTATACAGGATCCCTCTATATTATTTCTTCTTCTTCTTTTTTTTTTGAAATGGAGTTTCGCTCTTCTGCCCAGGCTGGAGTGCAGTGGCACGACTTCTGCCTCCCGGGTTCAAACTGTTCTCCTGCCTCAGTGTCCCGAGTAGCTGGGACTACAGGTGTGTGCCACCATGCCTGACTAATTTTTGTATATATATATATATATTTTTTTTTTTTAGTGGAGACAGGGTTTTGCCATGTTGGCCAGGCTGGTCTCGAACTCCTAACCTCAAGTGATCCATCTGCCTCGGCCTCCCAAAGTGCTGGGATAATAAGGCGTTAGCCACCGCTCCCGGCTCCCTCTGTATTATTTCTTCTGTCTGCTTGTGGTTATCTACACATGACTGACTATATGAGTAATTACAGTTATCTTAATTCAAAAACTTAGCCTTAAAAATTTGAGTGTTATCTCTAAATATAGTATTAGAGAAATAGCAGCTCTGAATCTTATTGTACAGAGAATAGAGCCAGGTTAGTTAAAATGTAGCCCAGTTTTCTCTTTTTCCAGGAAAGTGGTGGACTCAGATTTTTGAGGAGAGTGGGCGCCGGTGAGCGGGTGTAAGCAGGCCCTCAAGTGACAACAGAAATTTAAACACAGAGGCCACTTAGTTGCTGTGATCTGCTACCTGGTGTATAAAGGGTGCTGCAGATGCTTTGGCATGCTGGCTGGGGGGCCCCAGGGTTTTTATCTGCACGCTTGCAGACCATCATAGCTGTGCGTGAAGAAAATTAACTCGGGTTGGTAGCATAGCAGTCTTCACTTAAGAGCTTGTGTGACCTCGAGCTGATGGACTATCTAGAGCAATTTGAGCTGGACTTCATCTACATCAAATTAGATCCAGGTTTAAAACTACCCTTATAAATCTCCCTTGCTTCTCTCTCCCTGGCAGCTCTGTCTGAGGCAGCATATCCCTGCCCCACCGCTTGGACAGGAGGGATCTCATGAAAGTGTTGGGTAGAGGGGTCTTGTCTGCTGGCTCTGATGGCACTGTCTTGATAGGGTTTCAGATTTAGAACCAGATTTCGGATCTCCTCCCTAAGCTAGAAAATCATTCCAACAGATCCGATTTCTCTGAGCTAATTTACTAGGATGATCTCTACTTGCATTTAATAAAATATTCAGAGACCTATTGAATTTCAGTGGTAATGCTACTGAGTTTGACTTAGTAATACGCTTCAATTCCCAAATGCGTCGCATGGGCTGTTACTGAATGTGGGTCACTAGGAAAGCTTTGACTCCTAACAGAATTATTCACTGAAGTCTTAGTTATAAAGCATTACTAAGAAGTTATTTATTTAGTCCCAAAGTGACAGGTTTCAAAAAATTTTGCACATTGACTGGCCATAAATCCATTTATATTCACTCCTCCCCCCATAGAATAAAACTTATGCTACCTTCTTGGTGTTTGTTGAACTGCAAATCAGTTCCTTGTCATTGATTTAAAATAAAACAACCCTGATGTATCTTTAGCAGACAAGAGCCTTCTTTTGTTTCACAACCGATTTCTCCAACGGACGGAGAACAAAGACCCATAGTCCTAAAGTGCTTATGTGCAGCCTCGTATGACCACAGTAAATTGTACATGTAATGAAATATTACTCTGTGTGTGTGTGTGTGTGTGTGTGCACGCGCGCAATCGTAGTAGTCTTTTTAATGTATATTTAAAAAATAACAACCTAGTTTTCATGGTATGGAGCTGATTGTATAACCTTAGAATGTGGGCCACTTGGGGGAAGGGGGCTGTGCCATTTTGAAATTATCAGTTTAAGACTCTTGTTTAATAATTATGACAGCAGCTGTTTTCTGAAGGATTCCAGTCTGTTCATATGGTTGGGTCTCTATGGTTAGTGGAGTCTAGATGCTACAGGCCTTTCTCATCATTCACACATGGGTGGCTGTGCTGCTGGCCCCCACCCCACCTACTTCAGTTTACTGAATATCTGTGAGGCCAGACCGCCTTCCACTCCATTGCTTCGCCCTCAGCACATGCTCACACACACAGACACACAATGTCAAGGTTTCACAGGGGTTACAAGTCCCCCTGCTCATCCTCCAGTCACTGGAACTGGGAAGTGAAATCTGGTGGTGGTGAGTACATTGCGGGTTGAACCCAGCAGAGCCAGTGACCCTCCGTGCCTAATGTGCAGGCACAATGTTAGGGATGCTTTTTGACATGAGTCATTTGTTTGGCAGGTTTGTGACATCGGGAGTCTCATTGTCATTTTTATTTCTTACAGTTTTATGTGCTGAAAGAGTTGGCCAGATGACTAAGACATATAATGACATAGATGCTGTCACTCGGCTTCTTGAGGAGGTAAGTGCTCCAGGGGAAGGCAAAAGAGTTGTTTATAATCGACTGGTTTTCGTTGATACTGATTAAAGCATGCCTTATCACCTGTTTCAGTGAGGAATCTTGGAAATTGGTCTCTTTCAAGGTATAATGTAATGGCTTTACTTTATGAACTAGTAGCTACGTAGGCCTTTATAGCTATAATTTTGTGCAGATATTTTATGTTTTTAAAGGAATATATTAATGGCACCAAATGTGGTGCGTTTAAATACTTGGTAGAATATCCAGTTGTAAGTGTAAAAAATCCGGAAACATTGACTAATGATATATTTTAAGTGCATCCAAAAAATGTCAGAAAAATGTATCATCGTCTTTGTCTTCCTAATGTATTTTAAGTTTTGACTTAGGCTAGTGGAATATTATGCAGTGTCAGCATAGAAATAAGCAAAATAAGCATGGCAAGAAAAATTTAAGTAAGTTACTTAAGATTAGGTGAGCTGCCTATATTTTAGAGACTGGTTTTCTGAATTTCTTCTGAGTATTCTGTTGCAGTTGAGAATTAAGTATGACGAAGGTCTCTAGAAACAGATGGGTATAAGTGTATCTGCATGCCTGGAACAGGCCAGAACATGGTAGGTTCTTAGTATTTGTTGAATAAATCTCCATCATTAATACACTGCCCCCTTCACTGAATCAGGCCTTAAATGAACAGGTGCTGCCTTCTAGCCCCTTGCTTCTGCTCTAGAAACTGGAATGATTTTGGGGTATGTGATTATTATGTGGAGGACACAGAAATCATTGTCATTGTTTTCAACCAGTGGGAGGTCAGGGTTGAAGCTCAGACAGAAACTGGGCCAGACTGGTTTCCCAGAGGTTTTTTTTGGGGTGTGTGGCATTCTTTCACCGTTTTTATGTCTCTCTATTCCCGTGTTTCTACCTCTGCACATCCAGCATTCTCTTCCTGGTCCTGCAGTCCACTCCTGTTTGAAGTCACAAACTCATCAGCTCCCCAGAAGTGATGTCAGGGTTTTTGGCTATGTGACAGGGTGTCAAGGGCGGTATTTTGAGGCACCGGCCTTCAGCCTTCGGGTGTCACTCCAGTTGCGGCTGTCTTTGGTGTTAGCCACGTGGCAGGCTGTCTTGGTTGGCACCACTGACTTTTGAAAATGGTTGATTGCTGACCCCTTTCTACTGCAGCCATTTCCCCCAGCAGTGCTCTCCAGATCTTACAGACTGCTTCTGGCGCCCGCTCATCAGCCCCTGTTCAGGTCATTGAGTCTTCTGAGAGGGGTCCTAAATCTGTACCTTCCAAGGCCACCACTCAAACTCTTGGGGCCTCAGCAATGAGATTTTAGCTTCTCTCTGCTTTACTCTTCCTTGCAGCTGCCACCGACCATGCCCTCTGTGACCCTCTCACCCTTTCTCTAAGGCTCCTCGCTGCGTAGTCAAGGCCACCCATTGCTCACGGTCCTGAATCCTCCTCTAGCCCTTCACTGTCACTGGGGACATGGCTCCTGCTCTCCCACCCTTGGCCCTCTATGGCATTTAACTGCGTCGGTTCTTTCCTGCTTCTCAGTCTTGTGCTGCAGGGCCTGCCAGGGACCTTTGAAGCTAACCCCAACCCCATCCCCAAGTAGTCTGTGCCCTTGCTGAGCCCCAGGCTTGGGAGTCACCCCACAGTCCTGTTTGTTTTGTTCATCCAGCTGGATGAACAATGTATTTTTTTATTTTTCTGTAGAGGTGGGGTCTCCTTATATCGCCCAGGCTGATCTTAAACTCCAGGCTGATCTTAAACTCTGAGGCTCAAACGGTCCTCCTGGTCTGGTGCAGTGCCTTAGGCCTGTAAATCCCAGCACTTTGGGGGGTCAAGACAGGTGGATCACTTGAGCACAGGAGTTTGAGACCAGTCTTGCCAAAATGGGCAAACCCCGTGTCTACAAAAAATACAAAAATTAGCCAGGCGTGGTGTGTGCCTGTAACCCCAGCTACTCGGGAGGCTGAGGTGGGAGGATTGCTTGAGCTTGGGAGATGGAGATTCCAGTGCACCGAAATCATGCCACTGCACTTCTCCTGGGCACCAGAGTGAGACTCTGTCTCAAAAAACAAAACAAAACAAAACAAAATTAGAACCAAACTACAGCCACTGTTTATTTGAATCTCTCACATTTTTAAATTAAAAAATGCTCTCACCTTGGCCTCTCAAAGTGCTTGGATTACAGGCATGAGCCACCAGAGCCAGCCTGTTTTATTTTTAAAGGGTCATCATGGCAACAGCGTCTGTTTGTGTCTGTGTGTTCCATATCTGATGCCATTCTGTTCCTGTCCTGATAAGATTCACGCCTGAGTTACTGCCTTTCCTTGGAACTAGGAGGGTGTCCTGGTTAAAGTCTAACTGTCCCAGTCATGTAGCTATTGCCCTGTGCCATGCTTTTCCTGGGCTTTGGCTCTGTTTCTTCTGTTCTCGTGCTGTGGTTTGCATACCTGCTGTAGGCAGGCAAGTGGGGTACTGGCGGATTTGCACAGGATCCCAAAGCACAGCCTTCCACCAGCGTGGAGAGTTCACTTCTGGTTTTAAGGGGAACAAGATGCTGTGGCTCGCCTGGGCTTGCTGCTGTCTGGAATGCACCTTTGGGCAGAGCTTGCCTCCTCAGTTACAGAGAGGGTGATTCCACTGGCCCCTTAGTCATGCTTTTTGTCCTGAAATTGGTGAATGAGATGAGTCAGTTGCTAAGTGTGGGCGGCAAGCTGTTCGGAATCTCTAGTAGGTGCGTCAGTCAGCGCTAGAGTTCATTGGTAAAAGGGGGCTGAGACTCAAGTTACAGTCTTTTTTAAGTCTATGCTTTGAAAGCATAGTGAGGAGAGGAAGGAGGCAGTTAGAATGAGCGCTACCTTGCCTCATTTCTTGGGGGAATAAAGGAACTAGTTCTTTTAATAGCTTATTTCCAAGGGCCTAAATTACTTGTTTGTGGTCTCTGTTTCTCATTGTAGTTTAATCCAGTGACCATCTTCTAGCTATTTTCTGGTTTTTATCCTTTTTTTTTTTTTTGGCAGACATGGGGTCTCACTATGTTGCCCAGGCTGGTCTCAAACTCCTGGCCTCCTCAAACTCCTGATTCTCCCACCTTGGGCTCCCAAAGTGTTGGGATTACAGACATAAGCTGCCATGCCCAACCTGTTTTCTTGTTTTTAGAAGTAAACATTAATCATATTTTGGCTAGAGAAATGGGAGGTTTTTTTTCATTCTTGTAATTCTCAAAGAAAAACCCAACCAGCCTGTTGCCTCAGTAATATTAAAGAGAAAAAACTGGAGACTCTACAATAACATTTCTGTTTAAATTTCCATTTTATCTGTAACTATTTTTAATATAACTTGTTATTTTCGATGTTTGGAGTACATAGTAGGTGTATGTATTTATGGGGTACATGAGATACTTTGGTAAAGGCATATGCTGCATCATAATCACATCAGGGTAAATGGGGTATCAGGCTGAGCAACATGGCTCACACCTGTAATCCAGACAGGTGGGAGAATTGCCTGAGGCCAGAAGTTTGAGACCAGCCTGGGTAACATAGTGAGACCCTGTTTCTACAAAAAGTTAGACGCTGTAACTGAGGAGGAGGCAAACTTTGCCCAAATGTGCATTCCGAAAATGAGATAGGCATGGCGGTGCATGCCTGTGGTCCCAGCTACTCAGAAAGTGAAGTGGGAGGGTTGCTTGAGTCCAGGAGTTGGTGGCTATGGTGAGCTGTACTTGCACCAGCGCACTCCAGCCTAGGCAATAGAGTGAGACCTGTCTCAAAGAAAAAAAAAAAAAAGGTGGAGAGGGGAGAAAGAAAGGGGTATCATCACCTCAAGCAAGCATTTATCATTCCTTTGTGTTACAAATATTCCAATTATACTTTTAGTTATTTTTAAATGTGCCATAAATTATTGTTAACTGTAACCACCCTATTGTGCTGTCAGATACTAGATCTTATTCTAACTCTATTTTTATACCCATTTGCTATGACTTCTTGCTTCTTCTGGCAGAGAGTGTTCTTTAAAATTACCCTAAAGATTACATTTCTGGTGTAGACCAGGGAAGTGTTTGTCCTTAGTGGGGCACGAAGAGGGAGGCGAGGCAGCCCTTAGGTGCAGGGTTTGAGGTGTAACGAGTAGGACAAAGGACTTCATTGTTGAGCTCACCGCTCTACTTGTTTTTCTTCCCCTTCCTGTCTCCCAATTCCTGTTGGTTTCTGGCCGTTTGTGTGCTGGAAGTCTTCTGCATTCTTCAGGCGCCCTGGCAGTCCCTTGCCTTGCCTGAGCCATCTTCATTATTATGCTGTGTGCTTGATTTGTTTGCATTGAAATGCGTACAAAATGTGGCTAAAGGCTGGGCGCAGTGGCTCACGCCTGTAATCCCAGCACTTGTGGGAAGCTGAGGTGGGCAGATTGCTTGAGGTCAGGAGTCCGATACCAGCCTGGCCAACATGGTGAAGTGTCATTTCTACCAAAACTATAAAAATTAGCTGGGCAAGGTAGCGTGTGCCTGTAGTCTTAGCTACTTGGGAGGCTGAGGCAGGACAATCACTAGAACCTAGGTAGCAGAGGTTGCAGTGAGCTGAGATCATGCCACTGCACTCCAGCCTGGGTGACAAAGCGAGACTCCATCAAAAACAAACAAAAAATGTGAGTAAGGCATGCAAAATATCAGTGCTTGTTGGAACTTGACAGCCTGGATGCATGAAGGCAATGCAGATCAGGCAAGCACTGATGAAGCACCTGCTGAGTGTTCAGTATGAGAACTAGTTCTAGTAGAGACATTTGATAGACTTGAGTTAGATTTTTGGAGACTATACTTCCAAAGAGAAGTGAACATTGGCATTGCAGTTTTAACTAAATCCAGCTGAAACCACCTGGACTAGGTGCTAATTTTGAGTCAGCCCCTGGAGACTTTAATTCTGTGTGGTCTCCCTCACACAGTTCTTTGAATCCTTTCCTCTAGGTACCTAATAAGCACAACTGTTGAGTCTCAGAAATGACAAAGGCCCATGAAATAAGGGACCCTTTTTTTTTTTTTTTTCAATTTTGTATTTTGAGATGGGGTCTCCTGTGTTGCCCAGGCTGGTCTTGAACTCCTGTGCTCAGGAAATCCTCCTGTCTTGGCCTTCCAAAGTGCTGGGATTACAGGCATGAGCCACTGCACTCAGCCAAGGGAACTTCTTGGTAGACACTGGGCCAGTGTGCAGAGATGAGCATCTCGGTTAGTTGGGCAGATTCACCGAGTCCCCTTTGCCCCATGACAGGACTGTCTCCACATGGACTGTGCTTCTAGAAAGGCAAGGTCATGATAGGGAGGCACAAATTGTGAGAATGAGTTGGGGAATTTGCAACTCTTTTTTTTTTTTTTTTTTTTTTTTGAGACAGAGTCTTGCTCTGTCACCTAGACCGGAGTGCAGTGGGGTGATGTTGGCTCATTGCGAGCCCTGCCTCCTGGGTTCAAGTGATTCTCCTGCCTCAGCCTCCCGAGTGCCTGGGATTACTGGCTCCCACCACCACGCCCAGCTAATTTTTGTGTTTTTATTTTATTTTTATTTTTATTTATTTATTTATTTTTTTTGAGACAGAGTCTCACTGTGTCTCCCAGGCTGGAGTGCAGTGGCATGATCTCAGCTCACTGCAAGCTCTGCCTCCCGGGTTCACGTCATTCTCCCGCCTCAGCCTCCCAAGTAGCTGGGACTACAGGCGCCCGCCACCACGCCCGGCTAAATTTTTGTGTTTTTAGTAGAGACAGGGTTTTGCCATGTTGGCCAGGCTGGTCTCAAACTCCTGACCTCAAGTGATCCCAAAGTGCTGGAATTACAGGTGAGAGCCACTGTGCCTGGCCTATCTATAGCTCATTTTTGATACTGTGATACCTGGCTGGCTTCTGGGACTGTGGTGACAGCATTGCCAGTTTGGGGATTGTGGAAGGCCTGGAGGAGAGAGACCATCATCCTGCAAGAGGGAGCCAAAGTGCTGTTGAATCCAGTCTTCTCAAACTGTGCTTGACCTCAAGTGCTGCGCTCATACCGCAGTGAAGTTCCTGTGGTTAGCAAAGGGAGATGTCTGCGGTTGCATGGAATCATTGGGTGGATATCTAAGACGTTAGAAATAAAAGCTGATTATTCTCTTTATTCTAAAACTCAGCGAATCATAAAGTTAGAAGAGTTTTTCTAGAATATCTCAGCTAGCCTGCCCCTTTACTCTGCCTCCATTTAACAGTTGAGGGAACCCATGTTCAAATAGAGAACCCATACTCTCCCAGTTTACAGCAGGATAGTTCACCTGGAGCAGTTCAATTTGTGACCAGTACCTGCTGTAAGAAACATAGCTTAGGTTGTGACCCAGTACTCACATAGGTAAATATGTGACAAGCAACAGTTTAAACATGAAATAATACTCTTATTACATATAATGCACTTTGGTGTTTTCAATTCTGTGCTATTGTATTTAAGTTAAAACAAAATGTCGGTTGCTGTTACTAAAATGGTTCTCAACCCACCAATGGGTTTGAAACCTGTAGCCTGAAAAATGAATCTGTTGGCCCGGCACAGTGGCTTACACCTGTAATCGCAGCATTTTGGGAGGCCGAGGAGGGCGAATCACCCGAGGTCAGGAGTTTGAGACCAGTCTGGCCAACATGGTGAAACTCCGTCTCTACTAAAAATACAAAAATTAGCTGGGTGTGGTGGTGCGTGCTTGTAATCCCAGCTACTCAAGGGGCTGAGGCAGGAGAATTGGTTGAACCTGAGAGGCAGAGGTTACAGTGAGCTGAGATTGTGCTACTGCATTCCAGCCTGGGTGACAGAGTAAGACTCTGTCTCAAAAAAGAAAAAAAAAAATCAATCTCTAGTGTACTTGATCCCTGTGAAGCAAAAGCCGTTTGCCTGGGACCATGTGGGTAGTTAATAGCAGGTGTTGGATCAGAACCTAGGACTCCTCCCCAGTGTTTTTCCTACCCCAGATGACATGTTTCCATTCTTTCTTTCAAACCACATGAACAGAGTAATTAGCATATACTACTAAAATGATTTAATTTTTCTGACTTCTCCCCTTGCCAGCACCCAAGTTGAATCTGACTGTGGTAGCAAATCGCTAAGTCTGCATTTGCTGATGGCATCTGTCCACTATCAGGGGACGTCTTTCTCCCCGCAGAGGCTACCCTGCCTTTATATGCCACTCCGAATTTTCCTCTGTGTACTGGCTCTGCCTAATTGATGCCATCAGCTGAGCTAACAGAAAATTCTGTGCCCTTAAGAGTGTTTTTGTCTCTGAATATGGCAATTTTATGCATAACATCTCCATTTTGAAAGTTGTTTTTTTCTTAAATGAAGCCTAAGTAGCCTTTTCTAAGTAAAAAAACAAAAAAGCATGTAATTGTTTTTGAGAGTAACTTTAAACATTTTTGTTTCACATAAGGCAAAAATAAGGAATTCAATGCATTCCTGCCTAATGTATGCTGAAGAGGCTGCCTCCCTGTGTCAGCTCTTGGCTTCATTGTAAGAGCGTTTTATAATTTCTATATTTATTCATTCATTCACTTAACAAATAGCTACTGTTTCCCTGTGCCCTGCCCTGGCCATACAATAGCTCAGCCTGCAGGTGGAGAGACAGGTTATCAAGTGATTCCACAAATAACAAAAGCAGTTGCAAACAACTGTTTTTAGAAACATTTTTTTCTTCCCCATAGGAACAAAGATTTGTTTTCATTACATTTTCAGACTTCCCTTTCCTTGCGTGATGTCCATGTAGCTCTCACATACTATATGGGCAGAGGTTACGCCTGTTTTAACAGGCATCAAATGCCAACACAGATGGTGAATTATTAATTCCTTTGTTATTTCTAGATGCTCATGTTTTCCTCATTTGACACTGAGCACCTGTTGACTCCTTCAGGAAGCACAGGTCTTTTGAATCCCTATTCTCCCTCTTTCCTTTCATAGAAAGAGCGGGATTTAGAATTGGCTGCTCGCATCGGCCAGTCGTTGTTGAAGAAAAACAAGACCCTAACCGAGAGGAACGAGCTGCTGGAGGAGCAGGTGGAACACATCAGGGAGGAGGTAAGACACTGGAGGCCGAGGCTTCCAGAGGGCCCCGCCACAGGCCTGGGAGCCGTGGGCATGGCTGAGGGAGATGATAGAATGGGGTTCTAGTTGGAAGGGCCCTCCTGAGGGCACAACCGCGGCCTGAGCCCAGAATTGTCTGTTCTGAAACGGTCACCTGGGGACTGAAAGCCACCTTCCTGCAGCTCCTGCTGCTGCTTGTGTCCCTTTCTTTCCTCAGGCCATGTGGATGGGATGGCTCAGGGCGGGCACGGTCCTTACTCAGTCGTTCGTCTGTGTGTCATGTTGGGCCAGCCACAGTCCTTGTCCTCAGAGAGTCTAGACTGTAACCATGCAGGCTGATTAAGATGCTCCACGCTTGGCAGAAGGGCACCCAGGCTAACACGACAACGAGCAGGGGTTCCTGAGTCTGGCTGGGCTTGGGCCGCTGGAGAAGGAGCCCTGTTAGGAGGCCAGCTCGTGTACACAGAGGAAAGTGGTGACTCACATTCATCGTTACAGTATAATTTTGTGTGTGTAAAACAAAACAAAAATAGCCTATTGTTTTCATGATAGAAACCCTCTTATTTCCATGATATCAATCTTGGCTAATGGACATCAGTGGTGAGAGGAAGGGCATGGAGCTTTTCGGTTTATCTTAGGGTACCTAGGTTTAGAAGGAATGATACTGATTTTCTGGAAGGGACATGGTGTGGACAGAGGAGAGCGGCTGTGGAGTCAGGTGGGGTTGCTAGGGCAAGGATAAGAAGCTTAAAACCAGGCCCTACTTAGTAGCTTCTTTTCTATCACCCTGTTCTTCTAACGATAAATTTTAACTGTGACAACACTTCTTGTTTCTTTTCCACTTTTCTTTTTCCTTTTTCTTTTCATTTTTTTTTTGAGATGGAGTTTTGTCCTTGTCACTCAGACTGGAGTGCAGTGTTGCGATCCCAGCTCACTGCAACCTCTACCCCCCGGGTTCAAGCTATTCTCCTGCCTCAGCCTCCCAAGTAGCTGGGATTACAGGTGCCCACCACCACACCCAGCTAATTTTTTACATTTTTGGTAGAGACGGGGTTTCACCATGTTGGCCAGGTTGGTCTGGAACTCCTGACTTCAGGTGATCCTCCCACCTCAGCCTCCCAAAGTGCTGGGATTACAGGCGTGAGCCACCATGCCCAGCCTTTTTTTTTTTTTTTTTTGAGATAAGGTCTCACTATGTCACTCAGGCTGGAGTGCAGTCGTGAGATCACAGCTCACTGCGGCCTTGACCTCCTGGATTCAAGCGATCCTCCCACCTCAGCCTCCCAAGTAGCTGGGACTACAGACATGTGCCACCATGCCTGGCTCATTTTTGTGTTTTTTATAGAGAAAAGTTTCACCATGTCGCCCAGGCTGGTCTCAAACTCCTGGGCTCCAGTGATCCACCTGCCTTGGTCTCCCAAAGTGCTGGGATTACAGGCGTTAGGCCCTGTGCCTGGCCTCTTCTCCCTTATTTTCTATCAGAAACTTTCTTAGTGGGAGTGGATGCCCTTGTTCACGTTCCTAAGATGTATTCACCCTTTTTCCTTGTTAGAACTATTCCCAGTACATTGTTGTCTGGGTTTAACAGTAGTTTTCATATGATGAAGCATAGTTGCCACTATATAAGAAAAGTTTTAATCCTGGGCTTTCTTTAAGATGTAAGAAGAGAGAATGCTATTGTATTTTAGGAGAAATAAAGTGATTCCTGCATTCCCTGCCCCCAGCATCATGACCTGGATTCCCTCTCATGTGACTGGTGGGAAAGCATGCTGGGTTAGCCTGGCCCTCTACCACCCACTTGTGAGCAGCGGGATATGCCACCCAGTAACTCACAAATGGTCACCCGTCAGCTTCTTCACTATACTGTTCTTGCTTGGGACAAGCCTCACCTTGCGCAAAGAGGATCCAACTCTCTGGAAGTGGAAATGCCTTTTTTCCCCCTCAGAAGAACTTTGAATTTGAAAGCTATAACATGTTTCCCTTTGGCATATTATTAAATTATCAGTCTAGGTGTCGAAGTTAAAACTTCTATGCACATAAAATTGTCTTCTCCATGGAAGACATAATAATTCACTCTGTTATATAGAAAAGTTGCAATAAACCATAGACCCTAAGTCAAATTATAAACAAAGAGTTAAAACATAACTGCAGTTCTTCTTATAGCACTGGTTCCCTGTTCATCAGTACTGCAGAGTGAAAGGGCAAGTGAAAAATTGTACAGTACAACTTTATTTAAAAACCTTAAGTACAAATCAGGGTGATTTGCAAAGCCATCTCAGCAGGAGTCAATATAGCCATTCCCTGATGGTTGCCTCTTTTCTTCCTGTGTGTGAAATTCCTATCCAGTGAGCATTGAGCATGGAATGAGGTCCGGCTGGACTTGCCAGGAGCCTTATGAGGGTGCATCCCAGAATGGGGCTGTGTGGTCATCCAAGTGTGAGAGCAAGGGTCAGTGAGCTGCCTGTATTGGCCCGTGCAGAGCTGGCATCTCCAGGATCCGATTTGGAGTTGGGGTTTGGTTCTGGCAGAAGTGAATGAATGGCCTTTTCTTTCATTTAGTAACATGATCAATTTTTCTGGCTATTTGACCAGCTGGTCATCTGGCTACTTCCAAAGCCCCTGAACAGTCGCATCCCCACAAGCATCATTCTTTTTTTTTTTTTGAGACCAAGTCTCGCTCTGTCGCCCAGGCTGGAGTGCAGTGGCGTGATCTCGGCTCACTACAAGCTCTGCCTCCCGGGTTCACGCCATTCTCCTGCCTCAGTCTCCTGAATAGCTGGGACTACAGACGCCCGCCACCATGCCCAGCTACTTTTTTGTATTTTTAGTAGAGACGGGGTTTCACCATGTTAGCCAGGATGGTCTCCATCTCCTGACCTTGTGATCTGCCCGCCTCGGCCTCCCAAAGTGCTGGGATTACAGACGTGAGCCACCGCGCCAGGCGCATCATTCTTTTTTTGAGATGGAGTTTCTCTCTGTTGCCCAGGCTGGAGTGCAGTGGCATGATCTCAGCTCACTACAACCTCCGCCTCCCGGGTTCAAGCGATTCTCCTGCCTCAGCCTCCCGAGTAGCTGGGATTACAGGCACACGCCACCACACCCGGCTAATTTTGTATTTTCAGTAGAAACAGGGTTTCATCATGTTGGTCAGACTGGTCTTGAATTCCTGACCTCAGATGATCTGCCCGCCTCGTCCTCCCAAAGTGCTGGGATTACAGGCGCCAGCCACCGTGCCTGGCCCCCAAGCATCATTCTAGTCCCCTCCCTGCTCTTCCCTGTACCAAAGTAAAAATGATGAATTTAGACAGCTTTCTATCAAAAAGTAATTGTATTTCTTTTAAATAGATCAAATGAAAGCCTATTTTTTTGAATAGCACAAAATCAGTTTAAATGCTTTCATTTTCAATGGTGAATTTTAAGAAAAATATTGTCACTAACTGGTAAGTATTAGAATGTGAGTCGGGATGATAATCACCTTTTGGGAAGCAAATGATGGGCCCCCGCTCTGCTTGTGCAGGTGTCTCAGCTCCGGCATGAGCTGTCCATGAAGGATGAGCTGCTTCAGTTCTACACCAGCGCTGCAGAGGAGAGCGAGCCCGAGTCCGTGTGCTCAACCCCGTAAGTCACCAGAGGGCTGTATTTCTGGAGGCCAGAGCACAGGCTGACCGCTGTTGATGTCCTTGGAGTCACCTAGACAGGGTCACCTTCAGCAGCAATGGAAGTCAGCTGCTCTCAGCCTTCTCTGGACCAAGCATCTCCAAGTGCCTCAAACAGATTGATTTTACTATTTTAGCGGGACATGGATGGACAGGTTTTTAGTTTTCCTTTTCCTGGGTCTTACTGCTTATTTGTCAATTTAGATTGATTTGCCCTGGCACATGAGCGGATAATGGGTTAGGCTCTGCTGTTGGAGGCAGTTCAGGGTTCTGGAGCCAGAGGTGCTGTGGCAGGTCCTTGGGACAGAAGGCGTGGTGTCTTCTCTGAGAGTCAGCAGATCCTCATGTTGGGAGCGTGAACTCTAGAGCCCAGTGGGCTGCTTGCAGATCTTGGCTCTGGGACTTACTGCACGCTGTTGGCTAGGTTACTTAACCTTTGTACTTGTTTTGTCATTTGTAAAATGGAGATAACAGTAGAACTTAGGTCACCGAGTTATAAGCATTAATTGAGTTAAAACATACAGAGTACTTAACAGAGTTGTTGGCACATACAAATGCATTATGAGTATTAAATGAACTCCCAGACATCCTGAAATTGTGTAGGCTTTAAACAGAGTTGGTCCCCTGAATTCTGAGGTGATGTGGCAAGTTGTGGATAAAGGGTTGAGATGTGGGTTCTGAATTGGTGGTGAGCCTGTGCACTGGGAGCTCTGTCTTCCTGGGGCTGGGAGAAGGGTCTGGTGGGTCATTGGCCTTCCTGCAAGCCCCTCTTTGTGTCTCTAACGTGGTTTGCCAGGTGGTGGGAGGAAACGCATCTCCCTAGGTTGTGAGCGTACTTTCTCCCCTAGGTTGAAGAGGAATGAGTCGTCCTCCTCAGTCCAGAATTACTTTCATTTGGATTCTCTTCAAAAGAAGCTGAAAGACCTTGAAGAGGAGAATGTTGTACTTCGATCCGAGGTGATTTGCCCTCCCTGCTCCTCCCCCTGCTGGAAGGGAGGTGCCCCCATTCACCTTATCCGGCGAGGACAACCGTGGTTAAGTGCCCTCCTCAAAGGTGGCAGTCCGTGAAGAGCTGTACCAGGTGCTCGGCAGACGTGCCTCCTCTGTGCTCTGGGCACTGCCTTCCAGCCCAACACATGCCGCCCTGGCTGGCGCAGGCGAACCTGGTGAATGACATGGTGTGTGGACCGGGAAGAGTCGGAGATCCCCTCCTTCACAGTCATTCCTGCAGTGAGGCCTCCCCTGGTGTTCTCCAGATCTGACCACAGCACCTGTGGAGAAACCCAGCCTTGTTTTCATGCTGCCACAGATCAGATGCTCAAGGAAGTAGTCCATGGGTGCTCAGAGAGAGCCATTTTCTTTTTTTTTTTTTTTGAGATAGAGTCTTGCTGTGTCACCCAGGCTGGAGTACAGTGGCGCGATCTCAGCTCACTGCAACCTTCGCCTCCCGGGTTCAAGCTATTCTCCTGTCTGAGCCTCCTGAGTAGCTGGGACTACAGGTGCCCGCCACCATGCCCGGATAATTTTTGTATTTTTAGTAAGAGATGGGGTTTCATTATATTGGTCAGGCTGGTCTTGAACTCCTGACCTCGGGTAATCCACCTGCCTCGGCCTCTCAAAGTGCTGGGGTTACAGGCATGAGCCACTGTGCCTGGCAGAGCCATGTTTCTTAAACAATTAACTCAAAAAGGTTGAGCTGAGGCAACTTGGGGACTCATGCTTTTGAGTTTTTTTTTTAATTGGCAAGGCATTGTGCCTAGCATTTTGCCCACATTATTTATTTATTTTTTTTGGAGTTCGCAACAGGGCTGAAAGCTGGTTACTTTGATTCTCATTGGAACAGGGGGCCCCAGGCTGCTAGGTGTTTTGATAACCCAAGGTCATTCGAGTGAGTAAATGACAAAGCTAGGATTTGCAAGTCTGTGACTCTAAGCCCCTTGTTTTTCACCTTCATGCACTGCCCCTCTCTAGAAACACCGATGCGTGCAAATTTAGTACTGTTTGTCTTAATTAGTGGTGAGTTTCTGTCCTCTAGCCAAGGTATGGTGTGGTACAGTATGGCCCTGTTTATCAGGCCCCTCAGGTTGGAGCTGTGTGCCCACCTAGGCTGGCCCTGGGTTCCTGAGAGCCCCTTAATAGTGCAGACCGTCAGTCAACTTGAACTTGAAGATCACACCTTAGTAAGATCTTCATGTCCCATCTGAACAAGATGCTCTTCTGCACATCTTGTTCTCTTAGACCTCACCTCTTCCAGCCCCTTGTTCACTGATGGGTCATGTAAACCCAGATTGACCAACGAGGCTGCCCAGGTTTCCTCTGCCAGCCAGTAGCTGAGCAAGGCAACAGGCCTGTGCTGCCCATTCTGAGTCCAGTGCTGCCTCTTCCAGTGCCTGCCTCAGGTAAATGCTCCAGCCCCGGGCACCCAGCAACTCATCCAAAGCCAGCCAAGGGAATCTGATCCCAGCTACAGATTCCTGCTACCCCAAATGCATTTTCTGAAGTGTAATGTTTTTATGGGGCCAGGACTGAGGGCTCAGAGACACTTCTGTCTAACTGGGGCTCTTGCTTGCTTGCTTGCTTGCTTTCT